ATGGCACAAACAGACTGCACCAGCCGGTGGAATAGAGGAAGTTTATTGCCTCTCCAGGATACAGCATAGCACAGATGTAGTCTGGTCACAGAACTGGGCTAGGATGCCTCAGGCCCCCTTGAGTTGGGGGGAGACTGGGCCCCTAAACTCCAGCTCCTCTCCCTAGGCTGTCTCCTCCATGCTCTCCCACAGTAACAACTAAATTTCCTTGCAGCCCTGCCCCCCAGTCCAGGGCAGCATTCACCTTCCTTTGTTCCTCTCCATGGGGGGTGTCTGGCCACTGGTTCGACAAGTTTGTCCTTATCTCTGCCTAGCGAGATTTTCCCTGCTGGGTCTTGCTCCAGACAGCAGGGGTCACCACAGCCCAGCAAGTACCCCCACTACGTCACAGTAGCCAAGAAGGCTAATGGCATATTAGGTTGCATTAAGAGGAGCATTGCCAACAGATCCAGAGATGTCATCATTCCCCTTTATTCGGCTTTGGTGAGGCCGCATCTGGAGTATTGTGTCCAGTTCTGGGCCCCCCACTACAAAAAGGATGTGGACGCATTGGAGAGGGTCCAGCGGAGGGCAACCAAAATGATTAGGGGGCTGGAGCATATGACTTATGAGGAGAGGCTGAGGGACTTGGGTCTGTTTAGTCTGCAGAAGCGAAGAGTGAGGGGGGATTTGATAGCAGCCTTCAACTTCCTGAAGGGAAGTTCCAAAGAGGATGGAGAGAGGCTGTTGTCAGTAGTGACAGATGGCAGGTGAAAGGGCCCCCAGATCTCAGCCTGCATCCCAAGAAAATATCTACAATGCAATTAAATGGCCCTTTAACTTGAGCCCTGGGAGCCCAAGTCAGTTGGCATGGGACAGCCAGTGGTGTCTACTTGCAGTGTAGATGTACCCTTAGAAGACATGGGTTATATTCTTAGCTCTACCATACATTTCTTATGTGATCTTTGATGCCTTGACTTCCATTGTATGTTAAATGGGGATTGTAATACTGATCTATTTCTTAATGGTATTGAGGTTAAATTCATTGTTTGTAAAGTACTTGGAGTTTCTGAGCTGGGAGTTACTTTATCAGTGCAAAGCAGTAATAGTAGTAAAATGCAACAGCAACCATTAAGCTGAATAGCTCTGATTTTGTTGTTTTAAATCTAATCTTTAATGATCTCATTAAAAATTTAACTTAACCTGTGTAGATATTTACCTTGACTAGATTTTCTATCCAGTTGTAGCTGTGAGGTTAAAATCTTATTTAGAGGCAAATATGACAAGGTGCACTATAAGCAGCCAGATTTTATGCTGTTCTTTTCCAGTCCAGGAAAACAAACAGGTTATGTTGACAGTGTGCCAGAATGCACTGTAGTGTTGTCATTTCGTTTCCCTTATGGAGAGCAAAATGTTCACTATGCAGCTCTAATTTAGTTAGACAGTAAACTGCACATGCATCATACACATGGCTTCTTGCAGACACATCACTTGTATTTCTGCTTCTATCAGACAAAAATTATGAAATTTTGTAACTGTAAATAGTTTCTGAACCTAAAATAGTTCTAACCTGCAGGATCACTCTGAGAGCTCAACCCAGCCATCAAAAGTGACAATAGCTGTCATAATGGCCCAGCCTGTAGCATTCTAGCCTTTAGGCCAGAACCTTTTGGGGGCAGAGATGTCATTCTTAGAATAAGATATTTAAGGGGGCAGGTCTGTTCTGTTTATTGCCATTTACTTCTTAGATGGGAGCGAACGGTCCCTTAGTAGAAAACTGTACGAAAAGAGTATGGTTAATCCTGCAGCTCAGATCCAATCTTTTTCTCCTCCATCAATAAGTCAAGTTATAGTTAGAATGATCAGACATTTTTATAGAATCTTCCATCCCAAAAGATTCCAAAGAACTTTCCTGGCTTCAACTAGGTCACAGGCTGTATACAGGGAACACTTCCTCCACCAGTGAGGCATAACAGTACCAGATATCACCTGAGGATAAGAAATAATGAATACCTTATTCCAAATGCAGGTGGTAAAGCAGTGGGGGAATTTAGATAGGTAGAATGTAATTATCTGAGAGAGAATTTGGCCATGACTGTGAGGTTAACCCTTCTATATGTATCAGAACTATCATTAGATCCCATTTTTTAAGGGCTGTATCCCCTGTATCAGCACAGTGCTCTGTAATGCTATGCCGGAATATTAGTCCAGTACTGACTGAGAATAGTGCCAGCTATTGAACGCTTCATATACCACCTGTGTGCTCTTTTTGGGGGAGGCCTCCTATCCAAGTACTGAGTCCATCCCATCCAGTTCACATTCTGAGATATGACAGGATCTGAGTACAAGGTGATATGGGCTGCTGGCCAAGTCTCTGTGTGAACTGGAGCTGAATGCATAATGGCTGCCGCTTTTGACTGTCACTAGGACCTGGTTAATTTAAAGTGCTTTTAAGGATACCCTAAAATATGAAAGATGTAAAATCAATAAACAGTCTAATCTTAAGTTGCTTCAGGCAGCACTGCTGTGGACTGTTCTTTTTTTACATTGTAACTCCATTGTCTTTTTTTTCCTTTGCTTTTCTTGAAAAATTCAAGAAAATGTGACTCTTGTCAAAGATACTAGATGAACAGTACTGGATAGTATAGTGGGAGCAGGAGTGAAGACACAAAGGACAATTGTTTTCATTTGTAGTGCGGCTATTTGACATCTGGTTTTCTACTGGTTTGAAAGGACCTCTCTTTTTGCTCACAATTAATTGTGACTGAAGTTTAGACATCTAAGTATCCAATTATATCTATAAAATATTACCAGCAGTTGTGTGCTTATAAATGATGGGTGCACGTTACTGAACATCTATTAAAATACGCAGTTTCAGTTATTTGAACATCTGTAGAGTCCCAAGTATATGATTATTTTTTTAGGTCCCAGCTATCAGGCTTCAGGATACAGCTTCAATGCATATGAATGGAGGAGTCCTAAGCAAAGAAGCAATTTGTCCCCTCCCAGTAGGCCACGAAACCATCCTTTTCATGACACAGGGCTGAGTGATGATGAATGGGACAGACCAATAGCAAGTGGGTAAGTCAAATGCAAAGTTATGTGAGATTTTCAACTGCAGCACAATTGCAGTGATTTTTCTTTAGAAAATGAGCACTGATCACCTTGAATGAAAATACCTTTTTATAACTCAGCTTTTCTCAGCTCCTCTTGTACTACTGGGATGCCACTTCATGCTGTATGAGATTTATTAGGGTAGATCAGTGACATTCATAAAAAAATACCCGGAAGCCGAAATCAAGGCTTGTAAGTAATGTGAGTTGCTGTGTATAAAAGGACATAGCATTAGGTGTTAATGTTAAAAAAAAAACCTTGTGTGCTTTACCTGTAGTAGGCTTCAAATGGTAGAAAAGAAGTCTCCCTCCCTCTCCAGAAGGTGACCAAAAAAGCCTAAAAACAGGAAAAAAAGAAATGATGTTATCGCTTTCATCACTGGGGTTCAATCTAAGGACTCACTAGTGCTCAATGAGGCTCACTAGTGCTTAATCAGAAGGATGCAACAAGTGTAATAAGTGTGGAGTTTTAGGCACAGATCCGTGATGATATTTAAGACTCTTGCTCCCACTGAGTTCCTCAATTTCATTGACTGAGAATCTGAGCCTTAGTATTCTACATACCTACAGTGAAATAACTCATGGTTTTGAATTGTTTTACTTGGAGTTGTAATAGTCAGATTTCATCCATTCTAACTGAAGCTGTTCCACATGTGATAAGTGGCATTAAACTATAGAAATACCTTTCTTAATATTTCTACCAGCCAGCTAGTCAGACATCCAGTCCCAATGGTGAAGATCACAGACAGTTAATTCCATATTTGCATTCTGAAAAAGTGAAAAAGCAAGACGGTGACTACTGTGAGGCGTGAGCAAACAGTAGATCAGGCTTCTTGAACACTGGCTTCTGAGATTAAACATTTAGTAAAGCAGCCCCCCTCCTACCTTGTTCTACTCTCCCAGTTGTTTTTAAATTAATAGCTTTCTTTTACCAAAAGAATCATATTTAGCCCCTTATCAAACTCATCCTTTGTTTCTTGGACCAGACGTAATTGTTGGTTTGATAAATCTACTGTTTGGGGGAGGGTTAAATACCAGGTTGAAAAATTAAATCATATATAAACAAGGAATCTGGGTAATAAAAATTCATATAACGTGTAGAAAATAAACATAATATTTTCCAGCAGTCCTTTAAAAGCATAATCAATAAAATTATACTTCATACAAAAGCTATTTCCTAATGTGAAAATCCTCTGAGACCTGCAGCACAAATAAAAATAAAGATTATCTGAAGACAGCATCTAGAAGATGGACAATACCACTTCAGATGGGATTCATAAATGGATCACCAGACTTTTCTGAGGGACTTGCCCATTCTTCCAGCCAATCAGAGGAAAGGATGGGGCTTTAGCCCCTCTCCGCTTCCAGCTAAAAGCTCTTTGTCTCTCCCCTGGGTAACACTAAAAGCTACTTTTTCTGCCTGCTTTGTATTGTGTAATGCAGCTGGGGAGAGGAGAGAGAACATGTGGCAAAACCACTGAAGAAAGTGGGAGCATTAGGGGCCAATCAAAGAAACCACTCAAAGTAAGCTGCAATGGAAAGACCAGGGAGGTACCCAAGGAAAAATGGTGAGAGAGAGAGTGAGAATGAGGGGAAAGAGGTGGTAGAGTGGGAAGGGGAAAGGGTCAACCCCAGAGTGAGCAATAGTGAGTCAAACCAAACCAAAAGGAGACATTATTTGCAGACATGAGGGCTTTTTGCCTACCCAAGGGAAATTTGTGGGTGGAAAAGCCTAATTACAAATATTTCATCGTGCCAATCAGTTATTAACTGTAAGCATGCCTAGTTCACTACCTTTAATTGAGATTTACAAGTGGTCCTGTGGCACCTTAGAGACTAACCAAAATATATAGAATCATGAGCTTTCATGGGCAAAATCCACTTCATCAGATTAATTGGAGTGGAAATAACAGAAACACATATACAGGCAGTCCCCGGATTACATGGATCCGACTTACATCGGATCCCTACTTACAAACGGGGTGAGGCAACCCCGCACTAGCTGCTTCCCCCCAGCAGACATGGGAGACGGGAAGCTAGCACCCCCCCGGCTTTTCTCAGCAGACACCTCAGCTTGAGAATAAAGGACTGAGGGAAGTGAGGTGTGGGAGAATAAAACTGAGCTCTGGAGAAATGTTTGGCTAGAGTTTCCCCTACAATATGTACCAGTTCCGACTTACATACAAATTCAACTTAAGAACAAACCTACAGTCCCTATCTTGTACGTAACCCGGGGACTGCCTGTGTGTATACATACAAATTCAACTTAAGAACAAACCTACAGTCCCTATCTTGTACGTAACCCGGGGACTGCCTGTGCGTGTGTGTGTGTGTGTGTGTGTATATATATATATATATATATAAAACAGCAGAAATAGTATCTGTCAATTGTAGGACTTGTGATTGTATATATATTTGGTTGGTCTCTAAGGTGCCACAGGACCACTCATAATCTTTAAAAACAAATACATCTACCTCTCCGAGATTTTTTTCATTGAGATGTCCCAGTTGCTACAAGAGAAAATTTACTTTTAATTGTTCTTAGATTCTACTTCTCATCCCGCCTTATAAAATACTACTCAAAATCCACCTCTTCTACAACCAGTCACCCTCTAGTAATTGCCAGTGTATGGAAGACTGACTGACCTTTTGCATCCTACTTACTCTCACCTTTTTATTGCAGTGCTTCCTCTTTTCAATCTAGACAGCTACTCAGAGTTCAGAGTCATGGGAATGTTTCCGTTAGAAATAGAAATGGATGGAATTTGGTGTTCTCTTTGGTGCAGTCATCTTGTTTATTTACAAGGCATGCATAAAGTCCTGGTTCTCTGAACACAGGAGAAATCAAGAACAAAAGGAGTTGTGACTTAACTGACAGCCTTAAGCTTCTCTGCCCGTCATTGGACCCAAAAGCTCTCTCTAGCCTTTTCCAAAGTCACACTGTGCTGACAGGCTGCAGCTTGGCTCTCTTGCTTTTTGCCTCAGTATGTTTTCCCTTCTCTTTTAGAGCATGCCTTCACTGCACACTAAGGCTGGGCTCTGACTCATGTTTGAGCCCATGCAAACCCTCTGTCCACACACAAATCAGCCTGCTCAGGTCAGCAAGCAATTAAGAACTCATCCTGGGACCCTGCTGAGAGGGGTAGTCAGAACCAAAGTCCCATTATGAGACATGCCTAAGCTGTCATTTTGCAGTGTTGATGTAGCTCAAGCCACAGATCAAAATGGGAAGGTCTGGGTAGTGCAGTAGGGACATGTTAGCATGGCTCTGAGATCTGGGTCTAGCAATTATACATGGAGGTTTACATTGAGCTGTGGACCAGGTCCATAATGCAGTATAGATGTAGTCCCTCCCTCCTTCCCCCCTCCCCTTGCCAACACACACCCCTATAAAACACAACAAATGATCAGCAAAAGCCTTCCATCACTCAGTCCAAACACCTGGACAGATTCACAACCCCCTTTTGTCTTGAGTTATGGGGCTTCTGTTTAACTTTTCTTGACAGTCATGTTAATTGAAAAGTGCATTCACATCCTGTCTCGGAGGTTTGTGATTGAAGCAATTGCCGGTATTGCTCAGCATAACACTGACTTTTTGTTGTTATAATTGCTGTGTGTAACACTTGTATGACTGATACATTGCAAAGCGAAGCCTGAATGTTGTTTGTATATTTGACTGAGTTTCCCTTTGCAAATCCAGCTTTTCAGGTGCTCCAGACAACACGGAGACTGACCAGGAGGAAAACTTCTGGTCTCAGGCACTGGAGGATTTAGAGACCTGTGGCCAGTCAGGAATTCTGAGGGAACTAGAGGTAGCACAATCTTTCCTATAGAGCTACAACAATTTTGTTTGTCTTACATTCATTTTCTGTTCTCTTTTCTGTTTTTCTTTACGTTTTCATTAATCACACAAATTCATTTAAAAGCTTTAACCCCTTTCCACAGGACAAGGCTCACAGGCGTCTGTATTTGAGAAACATGACTCTCTTGGTACCTACCCTTTATGTTTATATGTTTGCTTGTGCAGCTACCTCCCCTCCCCTGACAAAAGCTATTTTGTGTTATATTATGCAGCTGACTTAGGCAAACGTGATCACCTAAAAGCTTCCTGTCTTGTAGCTTCTGCTATGTGCTCTGCTAACACATGCAGCATTTTGTGCAGAATTTTTAAGTGGCCAGAACTTTCCAGAAGCAGTGCATCCCGCTTTTTAGCGCCACCTTATGAAGTTTTTCTTAGCATGTTATAATTTGTCTCTGGTCTGTAACTTTCTCTGATTAAGATGAGCATAAAAGAAAAACATAAATTAAAATGTTTTTAGCAGGAATTTGTCACACAATGAATTAAGACAATAGCACAAGAAATGTTCATAGTAAAGAAAACTTATTGTGTACAACAAATGTTCACATTGCACTCTGAAATTAATTGCAAATCTGAACTCTATTAACTTTGTATCATATGATTTTGGTGGAAAAAGGAGGAAACAATAATCATGCATATTAATATAATTTCTATAAGTTCTTTAATGAGAAAAATTAAGAATATACTGAGAATTTTGAAGCTGTCGAATAGAAAATCTGAAAAATATTTTCTTTTATGTTCTTTTCAATTTCCTGAGCTACAAAACTGGCAGAATCTCATTTTCATTTTTATGTCATATAGAGTCCCTTAGCAACCACAAGGAATGTGAATGGCATAATTGGGTGCAACTTTTGCAGTTCTAAATGATTGTACATGCTCAGATTTATGGCTTCCATATTGCACGTACGGTTACTTTAATGTGATTTTGAAATAATTGTAATTGCAAGACAGAGAAATTAAGAGAAAAGTTAATGTCAGTTTAGTTTAATTCTGTGGTTATCTATGGCATGGTACCACAGGCTTCTTTTGCGATTTTCATTATTCAGAGCACAGTAAAAGGATATGAAAATAGATAACAGAAATGGATATTTCAACAGGTTGATGTTCTTACAGTTGTTACCAACAATTTACAAGTTTAAAAAATAAAATCAAAAGTGTAGCTGAGCGCTTTACTGATATCACTATATTTAAGTCTGGCCAGCACAACTCTGAATCAACATTTGTCCTCATAACATTATAGAAGTAGGATTCCCAACAGAGAATGTCTTTTTGCATCAGGAGGTTAATCTGGGCTATGTTTCTTTTTAAAGTACCATCCCTATTCCTGTCGTTTTGATTCCCTTCTCATTGCTCATTTCAAGGTCATCAGCCAAAGAGGAAGGTGAAATAACCTTTATTAAGTCCTCTTGCTGCTGCTCTTTTACAAGGGAGCATCATAAGTCACGCCTGAAGTGATGGGTAGCTGTTACAACTATAGAACTGTCACTTACTTAGGCAGTGTTGGTGCTGATGGGAACATGGGCAGCACAGAATCCATCACAAGAACCAGTGGTACTACTCAAAAAAGTATCTGATTTTCTTCTCCATTCCCCATATTTGGGGAGGGCTATCTGCATCCTTATTAAAATCCCTGCTCTGGCAGTGGTTTCAGAAAGTGAAACTGAAAGTTTAAGGACAACTTTAACTAGACTTTAACATTCCACAACACAGAGGAAACCATTCCTCTTCTATATTGATCTTTGTCGATATCAAGCTGTTCTACCACAGGGCGGTAGAGGAAGGTTTACCTTTGATTTTAGATGATTCTGGTTTTCACTCTTTGTAACTCATCAGCAGTATTACCAATGAGAAGGTTACTGTGTGAGAGAGAGCTTTGTATCTTTTCACATATGCCAGTCATACTGCAGAAAGTTAGTGCTACAGTATAATATATTCAGTTTCTTCTCAAGGACATCTATACTTAGTGCAAGATTGCTGCTCCAGAGGTCAATCTTCTGTCATTTGATTTAGCAGGTATAGTATAGACCCCTGAATTGAATGCTGAGGGCAGCTCCCCCCAGTGTCTGGTACTCCTCCTCCTGCGAGGAGTAAGGTAAGCCGATGGGAGTGTTTTCTCCCTTCTACCTCTCATTGTATGGATGCCTCCACAGCTCAGCTTAAGGTTAGCCTGGAGTTGTATACCTTAAGCTGAGCTGCCTGGTCTAATATAGACCAGGCCTAAATGATCTATTCTGTGGCAGTGTCTAGTCACCATCAAATGCAGTGCTAGTTCCAGGGTTTCCTCCACACTTTGCTGGCTCATGTATTTTTCCTTGATATCTGCAAATGCCACAGTACTAAATGCCTTATTTTGTTCAAGTACTAAGGGAAAGCTAATGTTCCAGAATTTGGCTTTTATTTTATTTTAAAAATATTTTCAGTGTAAGTAAACAGTTGTACTGTTTTGTCTTCAGGATGGTTGGCTTCATAAAAATAGCAGTTTTAATGCTTTCTTTGACATTTTGGTTGAAAATGTCATCTGAAAACCTTTTACTCACGGTTGGGTTTTTTTTAGTGACTTACAACCAGTTTGTATGTCTATCCTCCTGCCTTTTGCTGTGCCCTGAAGTGATTTTGTTTTGACAAGATATTACAGAATTGTGCCTAGTGTTATGAAATAACCCTTTCTTTAATCCAGGTTATAAATTTAAAAAAATCTGTTTGTTAATGCTGTAGGCAACAATTATGTCAGGAAGTACAATGAGCTTGAATAATGAAAATCCACAGCCTCGCAGTCAGTTGGGTCGACAAGCCAGTTTCCAGGAAAGAAGCAATGTGAGGCCACATTACAGCCAAGCTACCCGCAGTAACACACTGCCATCAGATGTGGGGAGAAAGTCTGTGGTTTTGAGAAAAATTAAACAAGAAATGAAAGAAATAATGTCACCAACGCCTGTTGAATTACACAAGGTCTGTAATTTTTCTTTTAGCAGTAATTCTTGCTTTGGATTAATGCATGAAGCATAGGGAATCTAATTATGTGGTGATATATTAAGTACTTTTCATAATGATGCCATAGATGGGCTTTTGGGTGAATATTTCTTCTTGCAAGCACCCTATAGATGTATTTTTATGGGGGAACAAAATGAATAAGATGCATTGTCATTTGCTGTTTGCTTTTAAAGCATATCCTCAGTGTATACTGCTCTTTTCCAAGGAGGATTTACTGATAATTTGATTTGACAACAATGATAATTTCTATGTTCTCAATGTTAAGGCAAGAAAGTTTAATGTGCTGAAAATCGATTCCTTTTGCATAATATCTTGTGGCTTCCCTAGTTGCTTTGCAACATACTACTTTGTTTTAATCTTTTCCTTCTTCAGATTAACATACAGGCTGTATTTGATAGAAGACCAACTTGAAATCTGTAGAACAGAGGTTAAACATACGCAATAGCCAACCAACACATTGGGATCCCTTTTCTCTGAGAGAGATAAAATAATCTTCAGTCTAGGAAATATGACATATAAAATAGTCTAGTTTTTCAATTCCTGGGGACAGGCATTCATAGATGTGTTCCGTAGTAGAAAGGGAACTATGCAGCTGATGGCAATCTTAGGTAAAGCAGTGCAAAATATTCTTCAAATCTGCTCTGCTGAGCTTTGAATATGATGTGTCTATGAACTGCAACCTATGTTTACAGAAGTTTGTGAAACTTTGGTGGGAATCCAGTAACTCTCCTGCATCGCCATGCCCCATCAATTTTGGGATTATTCTTTCCCTTAAGAGACATCTAAGGTAAGGAGAGGTCTCCCTTGACAGAAGGAGCCCGTTAATGGAGGAATTTCTCATGAGAGGTTAAAAGCCAACAGTCTCAAATGTTTAAAGCTAATATGCATGTTGATTTGAATTTAATCTTTTGCACTTTTAATCAATTCCTTTACTAAACCCTGATGTCTCTCACAGTCCTAACATGCACCAGATTAAGTGTTCCCAGATAGCAGCTGCAAGTGGATCTGTTATTTTGGAAGATGAGTTAATTGCCACTGTAATGAATCATTGGGATCAGTTAGCTTAATACATGCTGAGTCCAGAAATCACTTGTTTCTCAGTTTGATGTGGAATGATGGATTTGTAAAAAAGCATAGTCTTCAAGAATTTTCATCTCTGTGTAGTTAAGGTCAGACGGAGAAGTTTTCCATCAAGCAAAAAGGCTATTTTCTTCTGTAGGGAATATAAACCTGGCTTTCAGCATCATGATAAAACAACCAACTCAGCATTCATTGAAAAGGAGGAGTCAGATTTCTTCTACTGGGTGTTCTGTTCCATTTGTTACCTCTCAGTCCCTGTCCTTTATCCTTTTCTCTATTCACATGCTATGTTTCTGTTATTTGTATTGCCATAACTCTGCAGCAATTGTTTTGTCGCCTTTCAGAAAACATTTATATTTTTCCATTCTTCACAGAAATAGTTAAGTTTCCTATTACTAGCTACCTCTTTGTTGTGGTTTCCCCACCCTACTCCCTCTCAAAACCTACAAGTCAGTCCCCCTCCTAAAATTTGTATCTTTGTATTTTTGTAAACATTTCTAAGGACTGGGTCCTGCAGTCTTGTCCATCCAAGCCAATGTCGGGCCTACTCAAAGCCATAGTCTTTACATCATGTGCTGTCCTTTTTTATTTTGTCACACTTGTCTCATTCTCTATCTTCTTTCCGAAGGGGTCATTCCAAAAGCAATGGACAGAGCCTTTGAATATAATTAGTAACAATAAACTTAATAACAGTGAGGAGTTCTGTGACACCTTAGAGACTAACAAATATATAGGTTCATGAAAGTTTTCATGGCTCAAACCCACTTCATCAGGACTACTCATTGTTTCATCAGATGAGTATCTTAATAACGAACTAAACTGTGTATGGTAGACTAACTGGCCTGTGAACTGCATAGCCAAGGTTCACAAAAGAGGCTGTTGTCTTGGCTTGATGGAGCAGAGACCACCCCTTCCCCCAGCCACGACTGCAAGGAGGATCTCCCTCCTGCTATGGAGCAGTCTATCCTTCTGCTAAACAGCTCCTGTCTGGGGATGGTCCCTCACTCTTGACTAGTGAGCAAGCGAGTGGGCCTGCAGAGGCTCTCCTCAGGGCTGGTGACACCTCATCCCAGCAGATGCAAGCTGTGGGGAAAGGTGAACGCCTGGCAAGACAGAGCAGAGACAACTGGCAGTCAGGTGGTGGATGAGTGAGGCTGTGACAGTAGGGGGCTCCCTGTGCTGTCTCAATATGAGTAATATCTACACGTGCAGGGGTGGGAATGGCAGGCTGTTACCAATGGATTCTCCCACCCCTCCCATTAATTTCAATGTCAGCTGAAATTGACATTTAACAGCATCTATGGAATTAATTGAACCCTGCCAAATCTCTGCATCCCCCAGACCCAATATTAATGCCTGCTTAAAGTCCCAGGCCTGGGTTTGAACTGAAGTATCTCTTCTAAAAAAAATCTAGTTTTGATTTATAACCCAGGTCTACAATAGGAACTTATTCTGAAATAACCCCAACTTTGAATTTATAAGTGGTGCGTCCACCCTACCAAGCCTGTCATTTCAAACGGGCCGCAGAATTCAAACTCTGTACTCCTGCTTTTCATGAGGCATAACACTAATTCTGAAATAGTAATTTCAAGATAACATTAGTGCAGATGCTCCGGTGCTGCTAATTCAAATTTACTGGCTCCAGGAGGCCTCCCATAGCTCCCCAGAGTGCTTCCTGGGGTTCTAAGTCCAAAGTAGCACATCTACATTAACAGAGCCTGCCTCAGACTAATTTTGATGCTTCCCCGTAGTGAGGACACGCTAGTTCGAATTTGTTAAACTGGGAGTTCTTAAATCGAATTTTAGTAATTCTGAAATAGTTTCCTAGTGTAGACATGACCTAAGTGTCCAGGGATGGAGAATCCACCACAACCCTTGTGGATTCTCCAGAGATTAACCATCTTTATTGTTAAAAAACTGCTCCTTATTTCTAGTTTGAATTTGTCCAGCTTCACCTTCTAGTCAGTGGTTCATGTTATGCCTGTATTGGCTACATTGAAGAACATTCTATTAAGAAACTTCTGTTGCCCATGTGCGTCCTTACAGACTGTGATCAAGTCACCCTTTAACCCTGTCTTTAATCTGAAACGTAGTCTGTTTATTTTATCAGTGACTTCTATGTCTTCCAATCCTTTAATCCTTCATACGGGAAGTCGCAAGCATCAAACATTAAAGAGGGACCAATAAAGAAACAGACTGAGATAAGGATCTTTCCCCTACTGAGTGAATACCTGAATGGCACAGGATTTAGTTTTTTTGTTTGTTGTTTTGTTTTCCTTTTATCACCACACACTGTACCTTCTTTACACAGAAGGCCTCTGCAGAGGACTGAAAGTCCACTTCAAAATATTTAAAACGTGTTGATGGGATGGCCTAGAGCCTTCCTGAGTCGACACTACAAGCTCTTTCTGCCCATGAACTCACAGTTTGCTCTGATTCCTTCCAGACTAGGTTCACCTGATCCCTCCACAAGGCACATTTTAATCTATCTGTAAGAGATCATCTGGGTACCTGAAGACCTAGAATTGTGGGAGTCGCTGAACTATAGAAAGATATAAGATGGCTGAAAATTAAAGCCAGAACACATTTAAATTTGGGGAAAGGAACCATTTTTAATCAGGAGGAGGACTGTTCATTGAAATAAACTAACAAGGGTAGTGGTGGATTCTCCATCTTTTGAAACCTTCAGATCAAGATGGATACCTGTCACGAAGGTGTTCTTTAGTCAAGCATGCTATTGAGCTTCATACAGGGCAGATGCATGGAATTCTACAATCCATGTTATACCAGTCACAGATGACCTAATAGTCCCTCTTCTGGCCTTAAAATCCATGAAATGAAAAATTATAGCACCAGTTGACCATACTGCCTTTATTTTAGGCATGTTTTAACATCCCATTAAGGTAAACAGGACTTAAATATGTGCTTCAGTGTTTTTGTAGGGGCCTAAAACACCAGCAGCCATATTAGATTAAAATAACAAAATAAAAATCTCGCTCTTCCATCCCTAATTAAAAAGATACTGTCAATGTGCCGCTCCCTGTTTTGTCAATTGCTACACCTTATATCTGTGTGGAAGATTTGGAGGCAGGGGTGTTGCTCATCAGTTAACTAACTCGTTTAGCTTTAATCAATCAAATCAACACATGAAATTGGTTCTTCTTCAGGTCTAAACCTCAAAACAGTCCATTTTTGTTAGAAGGAATGTACATTTTACCTGTTCTTTGGCTATTTTGATATAGTGAGATTGTCCTGCTAGCACAGGGGTGGGCAAGATGCGGCCTGTGGACTGGATCTGGCCCGCCAAGCCACCAGATCCAGCCCACAGCCCGCCTCACTGGGACTCTCAGGCACAGAACGGCTCCACACTACTTTAAGCGGCTGACTGCTCCATGCGGCCTCTGATGCTACATGCTTATAGCACCAGTGTAAAGGGTCCTGTCGACCCGATGGCCACCTCAGTTTCTTCTTATTCTTGGACTCCAGTAAAAGAGAACAGGGGATTTGGGAATGGACACGTGCAACACATCTTGAAGAACCAGTGTTACAGAAAGGTTAATAACCTTTATTCTTCCTTGAGTGCTTTAGTTCCATTCCAATGTAGTTGACTACCAAGCAGGTATACAAGAGATGGGTTTGCAATTAAAACTGTGTGGCTGAAATTAGCATCCTCTCTGGCCGCCAGTGTGATGACATAGTGTGTTGAACCTGTGCACCGAAGGCCAGGTTCCTGCCCTGGAAATGGACGGAATAGAGGTGTGAGCTAGGAAGTTGGCCAAGTCGGCCATCTTCTGTCCATTTCCAGTTTCCTGGAGGGGTAATGCTGGCCAGCTCGTAACACACATGGACACATGATACAATTCAGGATGAAATCTGGGTGGAGCCGAGAAGGAGCTGGGTTGATGTGAAGCAGTTTAGTTCTTTGTGTATAGAATGTTGGATACATCTAACATCCACAGAATGTAGGCGCCGCTCCTCTGTTAACAGGCAACTGAGGGTATGTCTTGACTGCATCCCTCTGTCGGCAGAGAGATGCAGAGTAGGCAGGTCGACATAGCAAATGAAGGGGGATTTAAATATCCCGTGCTTAATTTGCATAAAAATGGATAATCCTTCCCCTTGTCCAAAAAGACCAGATGGGCTGTCAACCCAGGGATGGAATGTTGAAATGGCTGCTAGGTGGACCTTGACTGAAGACACAGCCAGTTAATGTTATTTCAGAAGCAAAAGCTACTCCAATATGAATTATAATGATTCCATGGGCGGAACTCTCCAATGGGAGGACCAGATGGAGAATCACTTCTATTTTGCAAAGTAAATGGTCCTGATGGAGAATATTCTGCTGCCTAGTAGTACTCTACAGACTTTCTCCTCGCACGCATGCTCCTCAAGAGTCAGCTATGGAGCTTACAAGATGTCATGTGAAGAGAGCTGATGTTTGGGTACAGTAGCCAACCAGGATTTCAGAAGATCAGGTCTGAGCATAGCAGCAGCAGGAGCAGTCTCTCTACTAAGAGGCATAAGAGGATAATGAACCGATACTGCCTGGGCATGCCAAGGCTATGAGAATGATCCATGCCCAGTCCCACTTGATCCTCAAAAACTTGTGTCTTATTGGGTTAGGAGGAAAGGCGTACTACAGGTGATCTATCCGTAAGAGACCATGGGCTGTGGCCTCACAGGGAGCAAAACTGGTGACATTTCATGTTCTGAGTGACAAATAGGTCTACAAATGGGGACCCCCACTTTTCAGGGATGTTCCTTGCCACCTCCAACCAAAGGGACCATTTGTGATGAGAAGAGAAGAACTTGCTGAGGTGTTATGCCATTTGGTTCAGAGCTCCTGAGAGGTATTGAAACCTTGAGCTGGACTGAACACATTGTGCAGAATTCCCATGCTGGATTGCTTCCCAGCAAAGGAGGGAGGATCAAGCTCTTCCATGACTGTTGCGTTGTATGTTGTGACATGGCAGTTGGGTTGTCTGTAAGAACTGAAACAACTTTGTTTGAAATGTGGGGCAGTAACCCTTGGCAGGCCAGGCAGATTGCCCTGAGCTTTCTGACACGCTACTGAAGAGAGCTTTTCTGAGGATCGTATGCCCTGAGTCCTGAAAGTCCCAAAGTGGGCTCTCTAGCCCAATGCTGACACATTAGAGATAAGAGCCATCAATGGTTGGGGACTGCAAAAAGGGCACTCCTGCATCGACCATACAGTCCTGAGTCAAACGAGGACTTAAGCAGGGTTGGTGAATGCCAATCCAGATGTTGCAGCAAAGGTGAATATACAGTGGCCAGCCAAGCTTGGAGAGACAAGAGAAGCAGTCTCATGTATTGCACTCTTTAAGTGCATAATGTTATATGACCCAGAAGATTCAGACATTTTTGAGCTTCTGTGGTTAGATGAGTCAGGGGGGTCCTTTTCAAGATCCTTGCCCTGGAAACTACAGAAGAACATAGAACTGAATGTTAATGCAATGGTGTTTAAAAAGTTAGGAATTTCTATTGCTTTACACCTGACTTTTCTATGAGGACCCTAAAAACAGTCTTTGTTAACAAGACTCAGTCCCAGCAACCCAAACTACAAATCTCTTCCCCACAAGAAAGTTATACAGATCCACCTGAGAAAAGTAGGAGCTCTGCAACCCAAATGCTTTTTCCTGTGTGCAAACCTGAAGCTTAAAATGCAAGCTCAGCTAATATTGTGGCCTCTTACATTAATCACTCTCACTGGATTTCTTGAAGCTAATTGTAGAGAGAGAGTTTTAGACTATCAAAACAAATGACCTTGGAAGTCAGAGAATAGGATGATAGAGAAACTAAACAGATAAACTAGAAAAAATGTCCCAGAAGAAAAGATTAAAAAAAGCTAACAAAGGAATTCAGGATTACTACTGAAGTATAGAATATTAATATGTTTTTGTAACAGTTTTACAAAAAAAGAAGACTTTTGCAAGTAACAGAATGAGGAGCAATGGTGTCAAGTTGCAATGGGGAAATCAGGAAAAACTGCTTCACTAGGAGGGTGGCAAAGCACTGGAATGGGTTGCCTAGGGAGGTGGTAGAATCTCCATCTTTAGAGGTTTTTAAGGCCAGGCATGACAAAGCCCTGATTGGCATGATTTAGTTGGGGTTAGTCCTGCTTTGAAAGGGGGCTTAGACTAGATCTCCTGAGATCTCTTACAACTTTGATCTTCTAAGATTTTTTTAAATAACATTCCAAATTAGAAATGCAAAATAGGCAAATTATCATTCTAGTATGAAATAAACTGAGGGGGAAAGACCTATGATAGTTTATAGCAGCACAGAAATATCATTTGCTTTTGTTATTTCTAAATTATTTCAACAGGTAACTTTGTACAAGGAGTCAGATGTAGAGGATTTTGGATTCAGTGTCTCAGATGGTTTATTGGAAAAAGGTGTATATGTTAAAAACATTCGGCCAACTGGCCCTGGGGATCTAGGTGGTTTGAAGCCATATGACAGACTTTTACAGGTAAAATTATCTGTACTTTGTATATGGTTTACTTTGTAAAAGATGTATGTGATAAATGTTGTATGGGACTTGTATATAAAATGTACACATGATGGTATAATAGAATATAATGTTTTTGTTATTTGTTTGGAATACCGCACTACCCATACTCTGCTTATACTAAGTCTTAGGAAGTAAGTGCAAACTTTTAGCTTTTAAACATGTTTATTGGTACAATATTTTGTATCTCTCTGAGTGTAAAGGCTTGTCTCAGTTATTCTGCATCATAGAAACAAATCATTCATTCGTCCAAGTGAGAAAGTTAGTACCAACTAATATTTTTTTTACACTGTAAAAATGTTTAGCTAGATTTTCTATAAAGCCAAATTAACACATTTTATAAAATCAGATACTTCAACACAACGTCGTAAACAAATGCTCCCTGACAAATTTTTGTTCCTCTTCAGTTTGTGATGCTCATTATTCTAGAGATATTGCTGTCTGTGACCTAGGAATTTAGTTTTAAACTACAGTCTAAAATTGGTTGGGGGAAATTAAAACATTTTACAGGCAGTCCCTGGGTTACGTACAAGATAGGGACTGTAGGTTTGTTCTTAAGTTGAATCTGTATGTAAGTCGGAACTGGCGTCAGCCGCTGCTGAAACTGATCAGTTTCAA